ATTGAATCAAAGCTAATTACACTTTTGCCATACTAGTGGGCCACTTTGTTGATACATGTCTGGAGCTTAGTTCATTTTTGTTACACCATTTCTTCATCCACTTAGAGACCCAACCGTGAGAGAGAAGAGGGTAAGAGAAGAATTGAGTTTAACAAGAATTTGACTTGGAGAATTAGGAGGAATTGAAGAGGACTTGCAAAATTGAGCTTCCATACCTTGAAATTCAAGACCTAGGTAGGATATTCATCCTTTGGTTTATGTATTTAAGTTGTTACTTGCATGGTCCATGGTAAATTGGTGATTAGAGTCTAGAATTAGCTCAAAGTGTTGTATTGAGTAGCTATGGTTGCATGCATGTCCATGTCATTGAGTTTTGAGGTCTTTTCTATGAAAATTTCTACATGCATGTTCATGTTTTTGTTATAGTCCATGAATTCACCATGATTTTGAGCTCAATCTTACATTTAGTCATGTTTTAAAGCATTGGAATTCATGTGAACTCATGCATGTTGAGTTCTTGCATTATTCTTGAAGTTCTTTGAAATTGTGTTCAATTAACTTACCCTTGGGCTTGATTTTACAAAATGATCTTTGAAACATGTTGTATTATGGGTTTCTAAATGTTTTCTAGAAAATTAGCCTAAAAGAATCGAGTTTGAAGCTTTTAAAGTTGAGTTTTGTGCTTGAGGATCCATCTGGAAATTCCAGATTTTGGATCCACGCTCGAGCGAAGGACTTCACGCTCGAGCGTACACTATGAGTACATGCACTTCTGCTCGAGCGTAGGAAGTCACGCTCGAGCGTGAAATGCATATGCCGAGAAGTTCATGTGTTTTGCAGTCCGCTCGAGTGAGAGAATTGACGCTCGAGCGAGGGTCTGAGTCTCATGCTCGAGCGGAGGTCGAGCGTCCATCATGCGTGAAAATCATGCATCCAGTACTTTTTCATGTGTTTGCAGTCCGAGCGAGGAAAGTCACGCTCGAGTGGAGCTCCTTTGTCTATATGTCCGCTTGAGCGTAGAAAGCCACACTCGAGCGAGACCCCTGTTTCAGCAAAATCTTGAAAAGTGTTTTAAAGTACATCTTTACATCCTCATTCCATCCTAGGCATTCCTAGGCCGAGTTTAAGGCATCTTAATGAGGATAATGTTATAGAACCACACCAAGTCAAGTTAAGGGGCCAAGTTATTAATCCCTAGTGTGTAATTTAGTGTGTGTTCGTTTTGTTACTGTGTAAGGTTGGCATCCGAGGACGCTCATTAACCTGTCTGTAGCCCAGTGCTCTGTGAGTAACAATGTTGTAAAGATATGTTCAATTATGATTATTTCTAAACGATCAATCGTACTGCTTTCTGAAGTAATACTGTTTACTAAATGAATGCATGTCCTATTTATGAACTGTACTCGTGGCATCCATAGCAACTTACTGTTACTGTACTGCTACTGTCACAGAGATCTCTGTCGGTTCTAATACTTGGAACCAATACTGTATACTGTTATGATGGCTATCAACTGACTGTTCGGTCTGTTAAGACCTACTGTACTATTTTGCTATTGGATGTACCACTTATAATTGCTATGGTTTCTACATGACTGATATGACTGATTAATTACTAAAAGGACATTCATTCTTAACCTCTTTACACAGCTGTTATTCACTGGGCTTTAGCTCACTGTCTATATCTATATGTAGGTGTCCAAGCACCGGACCGGAGCTAAAAGCGTCGAGTTAAGCTCCTGTTTTGTCAAGCCAACCTTTGTGCCTGACTCGAGGTTCCAAGCCTGTCCAAGCTAAGGCTGCTTTTGGGGTGTTAGAGATTCCCCCTTCTGTCTCCGTTTTGTAACAAATGTTTAGTCTTGACTGTACAGTTATGGCATAGGGATTTGGTCCCTAACCTGGATATTTGTGTATATGATGAATGTATATATGTTCAATTATGAATGTGACTTGTTCATAAAAGTCTTTTTGCATTCAGAATTCCACAGCTCATTGGACATCTTTCATTTACTGTTTTGGCTTCCGCCAGCCCCTTACTCTGTATTACTGTCTTTACTGTTAAGCAGGCCTTTGGTAATCACGGATTACTGGCCAGTTACGATGCTAAACCCATAGGGGCGGGTTTGTGTCGTGACAGTTATACATGTCATCAATGGTTGTTGGTATGTTAGAATAGTAGAGAGAGAGAGGAAATAATATGTATTGTAATCAATGAATTGTATTGAATAGAAGGCCTGTATATATAGGTCCTACTAGAAATCTAACTATGAGAAAGAGTATCCTATAAGAGACCTTATAGACCTAACTATGGCAATACCTAATATATCTAAGAAATCAATACCTAATATATGTATGAATATATACCATATATACATTAAAATCCCCCCTCAAACTCAAGGAGAATAAACATCTTGAGTTTGGAGAGAGAAACTAAGGCCTCGTTTGGGAACAAGCTAATTTAGTAACTTGCTAATTTAGTAACTTTTTGACTATTTGGCTAAAATATGAGCTAAAAAAAACTAGTATGTTTGGGATGACTTTTTGACTTTTTACGAAAAGATGTGCAAAAAGTAGAGAGAAAAGAGAATCTTTGACTTTTTGATATAGGTTGTTGGATTTTTGGCTAATTTAGTAACTTTTTAGCTTTTTAGCTAAAAGAGAGGGTTCCCAAATGAGGCCTAAAACATGAAATAAAACTAAATAAAATAAGAGATAAATAGATTGCAAAATCCGAACAAGAGCGCAAGGGCGCTTGAAATAGATCATAGGCTGGAACTAAAGTCGGGAAACAGTTTATGGTCGTGTCGGACCATTGTAGGAACTAGCTGAAACAAATGCCAAGACAATTTAAGGTCGTGTCGAACCGATATAGAAATTGGCTAGAACTAATACCGAGAGACAATTTATGGTCGTGTTAAACCATTGTAGGAACTGGCTAAAACTAATGCCAGGATGGTTTAAGGCCATATTAGACTGTTGGAGAAACTGGTTGGAACTAATGCCGAGATAGTTTAAAGTCATGTCGAACCATTATAGGAGCTAACCAGAATCAATATTAGGACAGTTTAAGGTCATGCCGGATCGATGTAGAGAACTGGATGTTGAACCAGCAAGCGTGGCAGACACATAACTTATGACGTGGTGCTGAACGATGATGACAACAGATGACTGAGTGTGCCAGAGGGCGGCTTGGATTGTGCGCCAAAGGGCGCGGCTTGGGTTGTGCGCCAGAGGGGGCAGCTTGGATTGTGCACCAGAGGGGGCAACTTGGATTGTGCGCCAGAAAAGGCAGCTTGCGTGGTGCATCAAAGGGGGCGGCTTGGGTGGTGCGCCGAAGGAGGCGGCTTGGGTAGTTTGCATAGTATATAACCATACTCACAATGATATAGGTATAATACCCCCCTCCAGCTCAAATAGTTTTGAAGATAAAAACCTATTTGAGGTTGAAACAAAGAGAAAGACAAAATAGAGTAGTAGTACCCAAAAAAAAATATAATAGAAATATTTAGAATAGAAATATACACCATACATACATTAATAGTATGCAAACGAATTTAATGAGGCCATTCGAAGAACTGGGGCTCGAAAAGAATCCTCATAGTCCACAAATTATTCTCCATCAAACGATTTCTAGAAAACTTTTCTTTGAAACCCAAGCGTCTCCACCACCTAATGAATTAAAATCTTTAATCATTTGAATATTTGGACTAAATTAAGTAATGTTATACGTTGACAAATCTACTTCACTAGTTGCCCAAAAATGAATAATGAAAAGTTGCACTAGGGTAGATTGCACAGAATAGACAGAGACGTGGGGCCTACAAAACTCTTCGGCTCACACTTCGCTCTATGCTTTGTACAAACTTTCTATGAATTAGATTCTTTTTAAACTAATTTATTCCTAATAATAGACAACAAAAAAATAATATGAGGGCTCTCATTAATAAATAAGCGTAGAACTTACTCTCGTTTTGTTTGGGTAAAAAATATTTTTTTATATTTGTTAGTAATAATGGAACGAAAATAGAAGTGGAGGTAGTAGTATGGCGATGGGGCAACAGCAGCAGTGATGGCGACGATAATAGTGATGGTGGTGGTGACTATGGTGATGGTGGTGTGATGATGGTGGCATAGTGGTGGGGCGACAGTGATAGTAACAGTGACCAGAGTGATGGTGGAGGTATGAGCGGTGGTGGTGGTATGAAGACATTGATAAAATTTTAGTCCGAGAAACTTTTAAAGTAAAAAATATTTTCTGTTCAAATAGGTTTGTTTTTCATTAATCATTAAAAATATTTTTCGTTGACTTTCGTTTTTCATTGTACTAAACATAAAAAATATTTTTGTTTTTCATTGAAAATATAAAAAATATTTTTCGCCCAAAGAATCGAAATGTTATTATCTTTGTATTTGATGGTAAGAAGTTTTGTAAATATTTGTTTATGCTTATCATTTTCTTGATCATAATCATCATCATCTTTGATCCATTGAAGTAACCATTTGTGTCAGAGTAAAGCTTAATTTGATAATTCTTGGACTTCTTGCTGGTGTATTGATTGCACTAGATTGTAATCTAAGTTTTGTAATTTACACAAAAGAGAAAAAGAAAGGGCGGAGAAATAGGCCAATGGATCAAATAATGAACATTTTATGTTTAGTTAGTTTTCAATGGCTGGCCAAATATAGCTAGCATAAGAGACAGAAATCTATATAATAAGGGAAGAAGGTTTTTGAATATTTGATGGGACTTCTGTTTATTTGTCAAAGTATGAACCGTTAGATTGGTTCAATCCCATGGTTGAAAATGTTTCCCTCACTTGGACATTTCAATGGTTCAGGTTTTTTTGGGTGAATATCAAATGGTTGAGATCAGTTTCCCTTTTAGCTTTTAGATTTTCACATATTTACACAGACATCTTCTCTCTCTCTCTCTCTCTCTCTCTCTCTCTCTCTCTCTCTCTCTCTCTCATTTTGATTTCAAAATCATTTGAAGCTCCGCTCTCTCACACCTCTTCCTCTTCATCTTTCTCTTCCTCTTCCCACCACATATCTTCCTCTTTCCACCAAGCTTTCTCTCTCCGGTGGTGATTAGCTCTAAGAGAATATAGCCTCGGTGGTGATATCCGGAATATAGCTCCATCTGCCTCAATCTCTGTCTCCTCTCTTCCTACACAACTCCAAGGTAGAAAGCTATCCTCCATGTTGTTTGTTGTTGTTTTTTTTAGGTGGTGTAAGAATCTAGGGTTTCCCCCCTCTTCTATTTCCGGAATATTGCTCCATCTGCCTCAATAGGGGTGGAAGAATCTAGGGTTTCTCCCCCTTCTATTTGGGTTTTGAAAATAGGGGTGGAAGTTGTAATGATTAACCCTAATGAAATCTAGAAAACCTAATATGTTGTTCTAGAATTGGGTATTATGAATTTCTTTTGTATACATAAAATTGGTTTAAAGTTGTATGTAAATGCTAGGTTTTGAATTTCTAGAATTTGTATACTCAACTTCTGTTTCAGTTGGTCGCTCTGTGTTTTCGTCCTCTGTACAAAACCCAAAAAGGAAAAGAATTTAAAGAGAAAAAACAAAGACAACCCATTTTTTGCTGATTACCAAACGGAGGTTCGGACTCAGTCGTATTGCTCCTTTTTATATTTCTTTTAAATTTTTTATTTCATGTTGTTGATTATTAGTTGAACATTGAAAAAGCTTTTACACCCTCTGTTTGTTCCAACAGAAAGTAGTAGTTGCTAGAAAAAAAACCCAATTCTTTGGATGGTTGCTTTTATCAGTTCTTCATATTTCTTCTATTACTTCAATTGGGTATGTGGGAATTTGAGTTTTCTTGGAATATTTTTTTCTGGGTATACTTTGATTATTATGCATTCATGAGGAGGTAAAAATTAAATAAATATAATCAAGGGTTTAGATCCAGAGGCTTCAATTGTTTATGGGTCATTTACATTGGGCTCCATAGTAAAACGCACAAAACTGATGACAATGTTGAGATTGTTAGGAGTGAACACATTTAAGGTTAATTGTGAAATTGATTTTTGATTTGCCATAACAACTACTGTTTGTACAACAACATGAATTGTGATTACTATTCCTGAAAATTAGATTGGAATTGGAATCAGCTTTTCATCAAACAATGCTCTGCATTTTGTGGATGTATGTAGATAATTACAATTTTTTTCGTTAATCATTTTTGAAAGAAAATTAAATTTTTACGAATTTACATAGTAAATATTTTTATAAAAATACGTAATTTTAATATAAATTCATATACTTACATAAATTTTTATGAATTTATTCATTCTTACTTATATAAATTTATAAAAATTTACGTAATTTTATATAAAATTACATATAAATGTATTACACAAAGAAATATTTCCTCATTTTGAATTGTAGGGTGCTTGGAACCATGGTAAAAGTCATAATTTTTTTTAACTTTTATTAAAATTATATCAAAAAAATTAATTTTTAGTCGGTCTTGCGGACACAAATTTAAAAATTCCAAAAAATAAACTATTAAGAAATTCAATTGCTTTGAATTTTTTTTTTTTTTGGGCCTTTCTAGACTTCTTTTCAAATTTTTTTTTTTAAAAAAATTATTTTTTCAATCCATCTAATCCAATAAAATTCAAAATCCTAAAGCTTATTTACATTTTTCTTTAAATTCAGTAACGACACAAAATAAGTCCAAAAAAAAGAAGAAGAAAAAAATCTTATAAAATGCTAAAGACAGCCATGAGGCTGTAAATAGTGTTGACGTGTGTAAAACTTGAATGTACCATGGCTTTGCTCTTCTTCTGCTCTATCCTGTTCATCGGTCCTAATTTCCCTTTTCATTGGAGGCCGTAATGACGACGATGACCCTACTCTTCTTCCAAGATTTATAGAGAGTTTGTGCTATTATTAGAGGAGAGAGAGAGTGAGAGAGAGGGATTGATATTTATAAACAAAAAAAACTATACATATATATGTATCTATTTTTATATATTAAATAGGGAATTTTAGAGAGAGAAATGTTGGGTCTGGAGCGGTAGCTAATATGGAGAAGGATTTTGATTCAATGCTAAGGATTGAGAGCAATTCTTCCAATGGAGGGAACATATCCAGATCTAAGAGTTTGAGATTTATGCATGTATATAATCATAGATTATGTATACGTATAGATGTTAGAATTTCTGTTTCTTTATTTTATTACACGTAACTTCTTGGAAATCACCATTTTTACCTAACATGAGTAGATGATACAGATGGAAATCACCATTCTTGGAAATCACCATTTTGAGAATTGTTTAGTACTGATTTATTTTAATAACACCATTTTGAGAATTGTTTAGTAGTGATTTATTAGTAACACCATTTTTACCTACCTTCTTGGAAATTACCATTTTGAGCTTCTCGCGAGGTTGTTTTTCTTTTTGATTATTTGTTTTTATTGATTGATTAATAACATATTTTGTATAAGTTAATTTTTTATTATTATTAATAGTTAGTATAGAGTACGTGTGTGCTCAAATTGTGAGATGGGTTTTTATATTTGGTTAAACATTCTAGAGAGTAATTGAGGGAGTTATTGACTTCTTTCAGTTAGCAATGGGTTTAGTTCTGAGTTTTTGAATTTTGCTTCGAAGCTCTTGCAGGTTTGATGATCTTCACAATCTTCTCTTTGTTATGTTTCTTTTTCATTTTTTATTTATGTAGGTTTCAATTTATTTGGATTGGAGTTTCTAAACCTTAAACTAATATGTATTTGTTTTTCTTCGGCCTCATATAATTTATTTAGCAATGGGTTTGCTTTTCCTTAAATGGGTTTTGTTAGCAATGGGTTTGATTCTCAAATATATATCAGTTAGCAATGGGTTTTGTTTTTCTTTGGATCACCTATAATTTATTTGGATTGGTGTTTCTAAACCTTAAACCTTAAACTAATTGTGAGATGGGTTTTTGTTTTTCTACTGCACTGAAGGAAAAGCAGCAGCAGCAGCAGCAGATGCCCAGCTTTTTGGCCTCCTCTCCAATCTCCTCCAGCAGGTATGATTCCTGACATATATAATATCCTTATCTATGTATTTGTACCGTTTTTGTTTGGTAGATATGAAACTATAGAAGTGGCAAAACATGTGTAATGATTAAGTTCTAATTATTTCTCAATCTTTGATGAGATCTGTCATCTTGGTATTTGAATTTGATAGATTAGGTGATCTGGGTTTTCTCTTTTATTTATCATTGAGTTGGGTTTCAATTGTTAGGGTTAGATTCTCATTCTCAATGTTCCTTTTGCTGCCATTTTATTGTTATAATCCAGAGGCTTCAATGTTATTTTACATTGTTTATGGTTCATTTACATTGGGCTCCATACTGTTATTATTAGAATTCCATTCTCCCAAACCCACAATTTTATTAATTAAACTCAACTCATCTCAATCTAATACATTTCATCCAAGCACCAAGAACTACATTAGTTTTTGAACTGGTTGTGGTGACCATTGAGTGTAGAACACCATTTAATGTACACTGGTTAGTTTTTATTTTGTTGTACACTGGTTAGTTTTTCCAATTTTCTGTACAACACCATTGACTGTTTTTTTATTACCACTGCTAGTTTTTTAGTTTGTTGTACACGGGTGATCCTCCTGTTGTTATCATAGCAACCGCAAACCTGTGGTGATCCTCCTGTTAAAATTAGAATTGGGTTATTGGGTTTTGATTAAAATTAGAATTTTCTTTGATTAGAATTAGAATTAGAATTAGAATTATTTGATTCAATTTCAGTTTTTCTGTTATTGGGTTTTGTGAATTTTCTTTTTGTCCGATGCTGCTCTCCAGTTCTCCAGTCCTCGATTTTTGCATCTCGAACTTTGCTCGCAAGGTAACCTTCATCATCTTCTGAATTTTTTGGATCTATCTTTGCGCCTTCTTCCAAGGTATTCATTCCATTTTCCCACCACTTCGAATTGTGTTGATTGTGGACATTTGACGAGTTTTTTGCATTTTCTTTGAATTATTTGATTCAATTTTAGTTTCTTTGCATTTTCTCTGAATTTTTTTAATGGGCATTAGTTTTTTTGTTTCAATGGGTTCAAGGTTCTAAGACAAATTAGATCTAATTTGATATAAATGGTGTTTTTTTTTAATATAGAAACTGGGCAAACCCTTTTTCCATTGGATTGATAATAGTTTATTACTTGAGTCTTTCCGCTCACAATTAATTGGAATAAGTTTTTTTTTTTTTTTTGTGTCTTTTTATAAAAAAGACAAACTAATTTCATGACTTAGAAATTTTACCAAGTTTTTCTACTAAACTACCAACTAAATTAAGCCTTAGAAAACATAGGCTTGCACCCTCTTTACAATTGGTTTTGACAGACTGTCTGTGAGTCCTTCATATTGGTTTGAAATTTTAGGAAATTACGAGACATGAGCATCTTGAAGGAGTTGGAAAAATTTGTTCTTTACCTGCTCACAAAACTTTTGCTTTATTGTTGAATATAAACTGTGTTCACACCAATTGTTTTCAGTTCTCCTTGCAATATCTGTTCCATAAATGAAAAATAATACATGGAAGTGAAAGGTATGCATTCCTTTTAAACACTAAATAGTACAGATTCAGTCAGTTTGTTTGTTTGTTTTTTTTTTTTTGCCAGCAAATAACAACCACTTTCTATAATAGGAATGCACTTACAAATACTTGGTAGCATGGGATTTGTTACATTTGAGAGGGACACAAATGCCTTGAGAGCCAGAAAAGTATTGATACCTAGAATAATAAACTCTAATTCCCTCTCAAAACAAGAATGAAATCAGAATCCAGAAAAGCCCATAGTGTTGCAATAAAAAATAAAGAATAAAAAGACATCCAAAGGGATTGCCCCCATTTTGGTCTAATAATAACCCAAACCCCTGCACCATCAATGGGGGCAATTTTGGCCACATTATTCTCCAAAATTGATGGGACTAAACTGATATAATAAATGGCTTTGGATTTTTGGAAGAAAATAAATGGGGTTTTTTAAGTTGTATTGATTTGTAAATGATGGGAGAATTAAGTTAGTTAGAGTTTGTTGTTGAATTACCAAGCGAAGGGTTTGCTTTTTGAATTTTATTTTATTAAATTTTTTCTTAAGAACACGTCTTTCTTAAATTCCCTCTAACCTTATGTGATCAATTAAAGGAAGTTCCAAAAAGAAAGATTCGAAAAAAAATAAAATCCAAAGAAAATATTGATTGATTTTTATAAATTAATATTTTTATCAATCATTAATTTGTATTTGTGTTGATAATGTGTTGTGTTTGTTCGTACTGTTTGCATTGGGTAACCAATTATTATTTTGCAACAATGTATGTGTTTGGTTTGAATTGGGTAGTCTCTTTTAATTATTATATTGGCTTTTTTTCTATTTTACAGGTGGATGAATACTACAAGCGAATGATAATATTGACTACCTTTTTACAAGTCTACATTTCTTCAGGTTTAAGTTTTTCTTATCTCTCTAATGATTTTGTATTTATTGTTGTATAAACTAAATGTGCACTTCTTTGATTGATGAGTGTTGAAAGAGGGGCAATCTCGAGTGAGCAACAATCTCGAGGGCAGAATTTACGCTATTTTTGGTTTTATCGTTGACAAACTTTGAAAATGATTGACGTTGTAGAAACTTATACAGATTTGGTTTGGTTTGAGAGGTAAACATTTGAAGGTGTTTGTTATTTAGATTTTGATCAAGAATACTATTTTCGTATTGGCATGGTGTGCTCCAAAGGGAGAACACCATTTTGTTGTTCCTTTTATTTTAAGTTGTGTTTATAATAAAGGGGATCCCCTTGCTCAAATGTATGTTATCTATTCATTTTTTTTATGTCATGGTAAAACAGATTAGGTATGCTTGATTCTCAGTGTTCCTAGCTTAGGAGAGAATGACATATGAAAATTATTCAAACAAAATATTATTTACACCGTGCCTTTAGGCACGAGCATACACTAGTACATAGTTATTTGGAGAAGTAATGTTAAGAATCTCAAATGTTTTATTTATATTTTTACTAAATGTCTTATATGGATGTGGGAGAGCTCGTTGAAAGTGCAAAAAGTTAGAATGACCAACTATTTTACTTAAGAACATCTCCAACAATTTAGGCGTCGTTTGGGAACCTGAGGTTCAGGCTATTATAGCCTAAAATGAGAAATAAGCAAAAAAAGGCCCTGTTCACAGTTTTTCAAAAAAAAAAAATAGGCTGCAGCCCGGACAGTGTAGGCTGTCACAGCCTGAAAACATCATTTCAACGACTAAATTACCATTTTACCCCTTTATATCAATTTAAAAATAATTTTAGGGACAAATTTGTCATTTTAAAATCAAACATAATTTCAACACACTTTTCCATACAACAACTCAACTAAAAATTCATCTCATCTTCCCAAACACAAAAACTAAAATAGCCAATTAAAATAGCCAAAAAGCCTCTAAAATAGCCACTTCCCAAACGAGGCCATAATAATTAAATGTCAAAATGCTATATTTTAGCAATAATGCAAATGCAATTTTCTCTATTATTCTTACAAAATTGTCAAATAGAAATGCTTTATAGCTCAACAATGCAATTGTGCCACAATGCTAAAATATAGCAATATTTTTCGCTAGTCATTGGAGAGATGGAGCTTCATGCTATTTTTTGACAGTAGGAAGTCTTTTACCAAACTATTGGACAAGCTCTAACCTAATATTGAAATTGCTCTCAAGTAAGAAAAAATTGCATTCAGTGGATATACAACAAATACCATACATTTCAAGCAATGGAAATGCTATGAATAAAGGTTTGTTTAAATGAAGTAAGGTCACTTAACTATGTTAACTATGTTCTGCTTCTCACTTTGGATATGTTACTTGTTCTCTTTGTCTTTCGGTGCTGTTGGTTGTTCTTCTTTAATTGCTTATTCACTCTTCTTGTTATGTACTTCACACTCTTATTATGCTCTCTTCATGTTGTATGTGCTTCGTACTCTTCTATACTTTAATCAAGGTTTATTCCTTTGAAGACATCCAATAAAATTGAAATGATAATGCCATAAGCAACTTTGGCTGCCATTATTGATTTCTTGGTCATATTTTGCACCCAATAAGCTTGAAAACATTCAAGATTCACTATATTTAATCTTTATCAGGTGAACAATTTTGTCCAGAAACTACAATCCTCTAGGTGATGGTATACACAAGCAAATCAAGGCTGCACCTGATGCAGTGCCTGCAGATGCACAGAGCGAGCACCGCGGCACAAAGCAAACATAAAATAACTGGCTACAAAATGAAGCAAAACATGCAAGGACTAGCAACAAAATGAAGCAAACTTACAAAAGCCTAGCAACAAACATGCTAAATTAGTTATGCTCAAAATCAAGCTTGTTATGCATAATTCAATATCTTATCTTAGCAAGAAAAAAACAAAAGAACAAAGAAAGAAAACTAATATCCATTTGTGAATGTTGCCCATGGGTGGGTTTAGGTTGTGTTGTGAGTTATGTTTTAGCCATCAACCTCTGTACATACCATGGTGCAAACAATACACAATCAAACATAAATATCGTAGTTGGATAATTTACAAAAATAAAATGAAATGGACTCACTATTTGGACTTCTTGAGAACAATTAATAATTCGAAGTTACACGATAACCAACCAAAATCAAATCAAATTAAGTCTTGTGTCCCAATCAAGTGAAGTTAGTCATGTGAATCTTTTTTCGCTTTTCAACGCAATCAAGGGTATATGCCAGGTTAGACTAAATGAATTCATATCTTTTTTTCACTTACACGCATATTCATATTGAGATTCATGTTCATACGAGATTTTATGAGAATTTTTACGTGTTGACTGTGAGGCTACCTTAAACACAATCCTCCTTTATAAACAATAAGCCCAACGTAGGCAAAGTTCGAAATTAAACAATAACTAATTTGAAAAGAAAAGAAAAATCAAATACAGCAACCATCATGGGTACGCGAGAACCTTATCCACTGGATACAACATTTTGTATATAGTCCATACATATAATGCTATACAAACTGCTCCATTATTGCATGACACATCAATTAATATAAAAAATTTAAAAAATTGTAAAATATGTTAGTTGCATAACATTTTCCATAACATTTTCCATATATATAAACAATGAGAAATGGAGACACACAAATGGGCAGAATCCAAGTATTTCACAATTATGTAATCTTGATTACACATGAAAGCAATTCAAGAAGACAAAAATTAAAAACCCATCTTCTTCTTCTTTTTCTTTTTTTTTTGGATCTATAACAATAGACATTTTAAAAAAAAAAGAGAGAGAGAGAGAATTGGGGGTTTTAGATAGGGAGGACCTTCTTGACAATCTCATCACTAAGGGCAGCAATCTGAGAATCAAGAGACTTAATAGTCTCCTCCTTCTGCTTCTCCAAGCTTGCCAGAGCCTCCTGAAGCTCCGCCTCCAACTTCTTCCTCTCCTCCGCCAGCTTCTGCTCCACCTCCATCGTCGTCTCCTTCTTCATCTTGTTCAGCGCCGCCGATATCTCCGCCCTCGCCGCCCTCATCACGGCAGCCGCCTGCTCCTCCAGCTGTTTCACCTCCGCCGACGTGTCCTTCACGCTTCCCAGCTTCTCCTTGATGGCCGCGTCACGCTGGTCCATGAAATTCCCAAGAGGAGTGTAATACACCTTGTCGAGCGCGAACATCAGGAACAGGAACTCCGCCATCATGATTGGGAGGGTTAGGTCGAAGTCGAAGAGGGCCGCCTTCTCGATCACTTCGGCCAAGGAGGGAGGTGCGGCGGCGAGAGAGGCGGCGATAATGGCGGTCATGGATTTGAGGGAGGTCGAATTTGTGAGGGATTTGAGTTGGGTTTTGGGGAATTTGGGGAGGGAGATTTGGGGAAGTTGGAGTCTGGGTTTTTGGGGGAGGAAGGGGGAGGAATAAGAGGAGGAGGGGATTAGGGTTTTGGAGGAGGCCATGATCATGTTGGCCATGGCTAATTTGTTTGCGTTTGTATTTGTATTATTGCAATGGAGGGGAGGTAGTAGGAGTTGTCTGGTTTGTGAGTGAATTTTGGGGGGAAAGAGAGTGGAGAGATTATTGATGAGGGAGGAAGGGAGGGGACACTATCAATGCCTATCTCATTCTGTGCCACACAAAGTGATTTGAAGTTGTGATCATACAAAACCATTGGAGGGACTTGACTTGGAGAGTGGCTCTATTTTTTTAAAAAATAAAAAAAATAAATAATAAAAAATAAAATTCCTGATGATTATTGATAGTCGGATAAAACAAACAAATCAAGGGTGCGACAATGCAATTTTAAAGTTAAATGAGGGGTGTGAAATAAATTAATAAATGTATTGTAAGCTTTCATTTATTTATATGAGAGGAAAAATTCATGTTGGGAAAATAAAGGATAACTTCTCTAAGAGCATCTCTAATTGTTTATCAAATTTTTTACTAAATTTCAGTTAAAAAAGACCCATTTTCTCATTTTGATACAGACTGCTCCAACGGTGGGCATCAAAACAGGGGTCGACCGGCCGGTGGACCGGTAAGGCATATATTTTTTTTTACCTCTTTGAACCTTTTGACCTGTTTGAACCAAAATTTTTGTAAGGGAACCGGTGGACCGATTGGTCAACCGGCTGGTCGACCCGTTGGTCTCCCCAACGATCACGCACAGTGAAATGGTGAAAGCTGCTGCCTGTTCTCACTTTGATGAATTTTTTGGTGAATTCTCAATTTGATACCGATTTGGTGCAACCGTTGGAGTACCAAACAGTGACTTTTTCACCAAAATTCAAATTTGATGTCAAGTTTAGTAAATCATTGGAGATGGTCTAAATATTGTTACGTATTTAATTTTGATATTATTTACATAAGGATAAATTATCAATACGTCATAATAGTTGGACTTAATTTCAATCAAGTCCTATTGAAAATAAGTTTTGATATAATTGTCGTTAAAAAAAATTTTTTGCGACAATTTTTTATATTTGTCGTTAAAAAGTGACAATTAGTGACTTTTTTTGATAATTTTTATAAAATATCGTTAAAACTTACAATTAGTGACTTTTTATGATAAATTTTTTCTATAGGGCCTATTAGACAATAAGTTTACTTATTAAGACTTGCACGTAAGTACCCCTTTATATGAAGTGATTGTCGTTTTATATTGTCTTTCAAATGTGTTTCTTATCATATTGTGGCATTTTTTTTTTTGTCTATTTGTAAAAGGTAATTTAAGGCCTCGTTTGAGAACAGACTTTTTTAGTAACATTTTGATTTTTTGACTAAAATATGATGTAAAAAAAACTAGTATGTTTAAGATGACTTTTTGACTTTTTATGAAAAATGTGACTTTTCAGTATAAATTGTTGGTTTTTTGATTTTTTAGTGATTTTTTAACTTTTTGACTAAAAAAATCACTTACCAAACGAAATGCATATTAAGGCCTCGTCTGAGCACAAACTTTTTAAACAATATTTTAATTTTTTGATTAAAATATGATGTAAAAAAAAATTATTATGTTTAGGATGATTTTTTAATTTTTTACAAAAAGATGTATAAAAAGTAGAGATAAAAGAAAATCTTTAACTTTTTGATATAGATTGTTAGCTTTTTTATTTTTTTAGTGATTTTTGGATTTTTTTTTTTTTTGCCAAAATCATCACTTGCCAAATGAGGCCTAAAGCATCGTTTGGTTTTAGATTTCTTCTAAGTTATAATACAAAGTATAAGAATCATACATAGCTTGTTGACTTTCCACCCATCTGGATTGAGACTCACCCAAAACTCCCCTGGACACAAACCACTGTCGCCTGCATGAGGCACAACGGACCATCATCATCATCAATGATATTATCCAGGTACCAGAACAAAAATGAATGCATTCACTAGACATGAATTTTGAGTAGCCAAACATGGAACCATCTAGAATAATCTCTAGTACGAGTAATGTTACATACAAAACAGAATTATGATACAGAATGATATAGCCTTTTATTGTAAACTAAAACACCCATTATTGAAGTTTGTAAACTAAAATACTACTACCACATCATTCCAGATTAATTTTCTGTATAAAAAATCCATTTGCACACCATTTTCATTCTATTAGTTAGCTCTACAAGGGCATATTTGACAACTTGTGATGATCAGAAGGTTACATATTTTTGAGCTTCGATGAGACTGAACCTGAATTGAAGTTTAAAATCCTTTCAACTAACCAATTCAGTTGACTGAAGTTTAGTGCAACTATGTATGCAGATCACTAGACCTCTTCCGAAGGATCTGTTTGGGACTTGAGCTTGTTACTACTATAAAGCCGTACGATACTTCTGAAACTTCCCAAGAAATCATCTGTCCATCGTGACGAAAAAGAGCTACCTTTTACTTTCCTTCTTGGGTTCCCCAGTCTACGGTATGCGAACCACCGTCCAAATAACTGAGATAACTTCGATTCATAGCTGCTCATGATATCCTCGTTCCTGTCATCATAATGCTGGGGTGGTGAATTTTCTTGATCATCACTACTGTCATCTTTTTCATCTTTCTGTCCCCCCTCTAAGCGGGCATCTGATCTGCATGATGACTCACGACCTCAAAATTAGTCACAATATAATTGTTTACAGTCCCAACAAGAATACTGATGGCCAATAGATAACAACAAAAAGGAAATGCTGTATAAATATAATTAATGACTACAATTTTATGTAAACTTGGCAGCATATACAATAGGTACTAACTACAAAATGGAAGGATACATAGGGAACATTACATCTTGAGTTGCTCCAAAGCAAACAATCTATCTTTTGGTGGCCGGCTCCTTATTAGATTGTAGTTAACTGAGACGTGCCGGACAAAATGAAGCTGCACATACCATAATAACTATTAGCTACCAACAAACATCATGCATAAAATGGAAATGGTGGGGTTGATATCCATGAATCCTTAAATAAAAAGTACTGAATAGCAAAAATATGCTGTAGTTTTCAACTCTACCGCCACATTAAATGTCAATGTCAAGTCAAACAGAAGTAACTCTCTTAAAGGTCAAGCAGAACTATACTACTTGAATCACTGAAAGTTCATATTTTTATGTATGGAAAAGGACCATATATGGCTCTAGCACCTCTAGGCTGGTTCCATTAAAGAGTATCTCTGGTGGTTATTATTATTATTAGATAATTATTATTACTATTGTTGTTGCTGTTTGTTTTTTGATAAGCTAAATTATCTCTGGTCATTTATCTCTCTTTATTTTTTTCTTTTTCTTTTTTTGTGTGCGTGTGATTAATTTCAAGAATGACATGGCTATTTTTAATAATATCAGTTTGAACTTCAATTATTGAATTTTTCCATAAATAAATTGAACAGAACACCCCTTTGCATTTTAAAATCTGATAATGTTTAAAAATATGAGAAAGGTTCTCTTAAAACTTATTACAATTCTCTTGATATTGTTTATTCGGTGCTGCATAATATGACATTAGACATTCAACTTGAGGTAGCTAGACCTTTTAACGCATTAAAATAGGCTCTTACTTAAAAAGCACAGATATGGAGACATGTCACGACAGGCACATGTCGAAACAATGATTTTCAAAAAACGCAAGACAAGACACGTGGGGGACACATAAAAGAAGAGGAATTAATGTCCATGCTAAGATCAAAATGCTAAAAGTATTTATTAAAATGATAAAGTAGGGGGAATTCATGTAAACTTGGGTGAAAACCTTCCAATCTCATTGGCAAGAAAAGAAGAAGACTCTTTCATTGAAATGGCCACACTATGTCCATGATAAGATCAAAATGGAACAGGCAAACTCAATTGGTTCTGAAAGTAGTTTTAGATCAAAATATAAGTTTCAAACCATGTTAGCAATTGAAAACAAAATTCTACATAAAAATTGACTGAAATATGAGAAGCAAGATTATTTGGAGTTCCAGCAGAACCATTCTTATTAGCAGAGATGCAGAATACAAGTCTAAGAATATGCTATGCATGCAAAAAAGCATATAAAAATTCCTATATGATGCAGAAGTGCATATAATGGTACAAGATATCAGTTGAAGCAATATGTGATAGATCACCCTGTAAGAAAAAACATCAAAGGAAAGCAAAATCATAACCTGATCTCCATCACTGATCCCATAATTGCTGATAGGTTCGCTGTCAGCAAGTAGCTTCCAACCGTCATAGCTTAAGCAAAAATGCCCCCAAACATGTGACCTCCATGAACACATTCATATTAATAATCAAAGTCAGTCTTGTACATGCACAAAATTATTTGAACAATCAATTCAGTAGATTATATCAATTCTCTTGCAAACAAAACCAATTTGAAAAATATAGCCTAGATAATTATGACTAACATTACCATTTTAATTTCACATTGGGAGAACAGAAAAACAAATAAGACAATTTACAATTACCCTATTATCAACTGAAGCAGCCATGGGCTACATACATTATTGTGGTGTCAATTGACCCCACTAGATTTGGGAACACCATTGAAAGAAACAAATTATTTATATTTTTAGGTGAAATTGAACCTGATGATTTATAAAAATTGAACCCACTGCAAATGGTGAAAATGAAATTTTAAAAAGTTTTAGTCTACTTGCTTGGGTACGTAGAATCCATCTCTTTGTTTTTACAATAGGGACTACAATGGTGCCAAGAGCATTTTTAGCCATGAAAGCCATAAAAATTCAGTTGCATAATCAAATGAGAGATCCATGAATGAATGATTATTGGAAATGAAGTATTTGATAGCATTGATAATAAGACAGTCATGCAACGATCAAAATGAGTACAAAAAAATAAAATAAAAAATAGTACAGACTTGTTATACAAATAATGTGGCTTGTTGTGCTTCCTTTGTTTCAAAACATAATGCCCATCCTTATCATCATAATTTACAAGTATATCACTGTTACATCATTTTGAAAACAAATTATGTATAAAAGTTTTGGTAGTTAAACATTTTCAAAATATGAAAACTCATTGATGCAATGTGAGAATTTATGTTTCTTCATTTTTTGTGTGAAAACATTAGTATCTTTGCTTATTTTTTATTTTAGGATTTTTTTTTTTCAATTATCATTGTCAAATTGTTGAAAATAGATATTGATAAGAGTGAACAATTATAAGATATTATTCACCTCACTGAATTTTTTTAATTTTTTAATTTCTACGTTTTTTTTTTTTTTTTTTTTTTTGGAGCCACCACTAGAAGCAACCAATAATATTAAAAACAGCCTGAGAAATTGAACACAAAAATACCATAAGAGGCATTCAAGTGGCCCCGTGGAAAATGAATGGCTCCATTGTAGTTTCATACCATTTTAAGGTACACATGCAATTGCGCAGAACACGTCCACACCAAAAATTGGGGTCACCAATACAAACTAATTCTATCCCTTGACTTTTAGAATTTAATCCTCCTATTTCACATGTTCATAGCTTATTGTAATGGATGTGCTCATACTACATACATTCAAAACAATGTGATGATTCAATTCTTGTGGCAACAGCCAACCACGCCCTAGTTTTCTTCCTAATTCAATGACAAAAGAATTCAAACTAATACTATCCCTTGAATTTTAGATTTTAGAATTTGATCCTCCTATTTCACATGTTCATAGCTTATTGTTCAATTTTTGTGGCAACAAACAACTACGCCATAGTTTTCTTTCTAATGCAATGCGTCAAAAAATGAATTGAGTGCTAAATTCGCAATGACAATACCATGAAATCTTGCCAGGTCCTTTCCTCGGCCTATGACTGAATACCTCCTCCACCGCCATCTTCAACTCGGCCACCCTTGCCGTCTTCGCAATCTCAACATCTGCATAATCAGCCACATTTCAATCAATTCAATACATATACATACATACATATATATATATATATATATGTATAGAGAGAGAGAGAGAGAGATACCAAAGGAGGAGCCATCGAGTTTGAGAATGGCGAGATTGAGAGGCTGCTGAGGAAGCTCGTCGTATGAAAAGCTCTTTCTGGAGAGGCCACCACCAATGCGCAAATGAGGAGAGATAGGGACTCCACAACACGAAGAACCACGACGATGTTGACGACGACGACGTTGATTCTGCGAATCGAACGAAACCCTAGGGAGAGAATCGTCGTCGTACGCAAGGATTTGCATGAGTACGACTCTAGAATTGATGATCAAATCAACCCATGGCTAGGTTAAAAAGAAAGGATTTCTTATGGAGATTCACGATGGATAACAACAGGGCATTGTGGTTTTTGCAATGGAGATTTAAGGGGACCTGTAATTTTGAGCTTTCAATCGGGAGGGTTTCTAGCTAGAGAGAGAGAATCATAAGCCAATTCTCTCTCTCTTCCTCTGGGTTTTTTTTTTTTTGGAAGAGATGACAGTTGTTTTTGGGTTGGAGGGAAAATGAATACAATGGCGGCGCTGAACGTTTCAGTTACACCTGGGCCATTGCAAAGGCGGGACCGACCCAATTGTTGGCCCTTTTTTTACATCTTCGGAATTAAATATTAAAAAGTACAATTGATTCATAAATTTAAATTTAAATTTTATTTAATTAAAAGTCTAAATGTTAAAATACATTATCCAAAAAGATAAGTTTAAATAAAATGATCAAAATATCTATTTATATATATATATATATATAGATACTACTCTTATCCTTGTAATACATGGCATCATCACTTGCATCTTGCATGAAATTTCTCATCAGAGCTCCGTCATTTTTGTCGTTTCACCACCGTCAAAGTGAAATCTTTGTTGCTGCCTCTAACTCCCATTACCTTGCCACCGTCTCTAGCGACAATTTCACGACCTCCTTCCAACAGTACCGCTCTCACTTTATTTCACCGCCGCTGCCATCTCCATCATCAGCGTCATTGGAGTCATCGGAGATATGACCACTCGTAGATTCGACTACTCTTCTAGATCTGCATCCACCTCTTGATCCGCTTAGTGTACCCAAACCACTTCTGACTATGTACTTGATTACTTGAACATCCATCACTTTTTTGAAGTATTGGTAAGTCGTGTCGTCATCAGAAGTGTTTTGAAACACCGTCACAGTGGTGTCGTGAAACCACGACATGGCGTCGATGAAGACTATGCGGTAGATCAAGTCAGATCCAATTCAGATCGCATCTAGAGTTAGGTATGTTCATTCTCTGTCATCTCTCTTGTGTCAACATGCACTATACATAGAATAAAGAACTCTCTCTCTCTCTCTCTCTATTGATCTATATGAATGTATGTATATAATATATATATATAGAGAGAGAGATATGTATCTCTTTCTCTACAACAACAACGAGATTGTATCAAAATCTAAGACAAAATAGGGTTAAGTTTGGAATTGAGATGGAGATAGAAGAGAAATTTATCTGAAACAAGCACTAGTTGTAGTCGATGTGGAGAAAGAGAGAAAAGGGTTAGGGTTTTGTAGTTATTTTTGCTTATATTTTATTTATTTTTGTTTTGTTCTTCTTTGTTGCATATAAAATTAGTGATGATAAAGTTTGTTCTTCAATTATTGAACAGATTTAAAAAAAATCCGATCTACATTTTTTTAGTTGATTGTTGTTGTCGTTGTTCTAGTGGTGAATGAACAGATTAAAAAAAAATTGAACAGATATATCTGTGTATCTACTGGATTATATTTGAGTATTGGTGATGGAAAATTTGAACAGATGGGGAGAAAGAACAATAGAGTGAGAAAAAGAAGTGGAGAGAGAAACAGATAGAGAGAGAAAATAGAAATAGAGAGAAATGTCATTATTGCTGATGATAATTGCAACAGATATATTTTTTCTTTTTTTTTCAATAGATAGATAGAGAGAGAGAGACAACAAATAAAATTTGAACAGATAAGGGAAAAATGAACAGATGGTCAAAAAATTTGAACAAATTGTCAAAAAAATTGAACATATAAATATAAATTTGAACAGATAGTTCAAATTTTTCAATAGATAGATAATGGGTAAAATTGTAAACAAGATGTCCTCCAAAACCAATAAAATGACTTCTTACCAAATTATTTCGAAAATAGTGAACCTCTCGCTAATAAAAAAATATTCATTGGACTTAATACTTTAAGCAATTGTTAGATTGGACTTTTCAACAATTGTCTCTATTAAAAATATCAAGAAAATTTATTAGAAAGTCCAATTTGAGGAACTTGTTTAGTGATAGGTCCTATAATAGTTTAAGAACTCCTACTTATTTAGAATTGTGTCATTTTTTTTGAATTTTGAGGTTTTTTATGACCTTATTCCCCCTAAGTTAATAGATTCATATTCATTTCGTGATATTCCAATAGTGCAAAATTTGTATAACAGCCACTCCTTTAATTAATTGTTAAATTACGTAATTTGCCTTGCTTATGGGTTTATTATTCCTAATTGTATGTCATGTGTTATATGTATCATTTGTTAATTGTGCTATGTGTTCGTGGTAGTGAATTAGTGGAAAAGATAGATGGAAATGGGTAATAAACCTGTCTGAATCAGTGAACCATAAGATTAAAATTAAATATTTGAAATAGGCAATTAGAGCCTGATTCACAGTAGTACGTTTTAATTTAGCGTTAATTAAGAGATTTATGATGAGAATTGAATTATTAACTTGGACTTGGGAAGAGAATTAGGAAAATCCGAACAAGACTTAACTCAAGTCAACAAAAGAGGTAAATAATGAGAGATAGTGGTTGGTGTAGAGACAACTTGAGAGAGAGCCTTAAGAGTAGAAGAAAGACAGAGAAAAAGGAGGAGTAGAAGAGCTTAATCCAAATCTTCACTAATTCATCCATCTAAGGTAAAAAACGTTCCTCTAATTTCAAGAATTGAAATTGTTTGCCTATGGAATCATAGAAATTTAGATGAATTGATAAGTTAGGGTAAAATATAGTGATAATAGGAACCCTAAAGTGAAGAAATGAAAATAGTCTACTCTTATCCTTGTAATACATGGCATCATCACTTGCATCTTGCATGAAATTTGGGATTTGAAAAGTAAATTGCAAGAGTTTTTACTTTGACACTCAAGTTTGCATACATTAAAAACTGTATACATCTAAGGTTCGTGATTTTGTGGTATTCTTTGAGGCTTGAGCCTTGCTTACTTGTTTGAAGTTGAAAGTAATTAATTCCTTTTACTTTGAAGTGTTTTTTGAGCCTCCTTTTGTGTAAATGAGATTGGGTTTTGAATGGGGGAAAAACTCCATATTCAGCAGAAATTCGAACTGATTTTTCACCTAGACCGCTTGAGCGGCCTGAGCCACCGCTCGAGCGGCCAAGCTTGGTTTGGCCAAATTTGCACACTGAAGTTCGCCAGCACGTGCGGCCTAGGCCACCGCACGAGCGGCCAGACCACCACATGTGCGGCTAGGGCCACCGCATGTGGGGCCAACAGGGCCAGCCCAGATTGATTTTTCTTATGATTTCTCTGACTTCCGGGCCTCCAATTGCATGGTTTCCCACTGTTTTTCATATGCATGTGCATGGGATGAATTTAAAACAAAGCGAAAGAATAAAAAGGATCGAGTTAAATGATTAGTAACAAGTAAGTAATGGAGAAGTTAATGGCTAATTGAATATTGAACCATTATGCTTTCATATGCCTACGTAGGTCAAACACCGCATCCTAGTTAAGTGCTACATGGGACTAACGATGAGTGACAGTGTAGTAAAACTATGCTTGAATTATAATTCTTTTCGATTGTTATTGTTTACTGAATACGTAAACCTACTCCATATAATATACTCACGTGGCCCATACTCAAGGGTAAAAATACTGCGGTCTTTATTCACGTGGCCCGTACCTGGAGGTAATAATACTGTGGCGTATCTCTACGTGGCCCTCACCCAAAGGTAATAATACCGTGGTCTATGTTCATGTGGCCCTTGCCCAAGAGTAAGAATACCGCGGCCTATGTTCGCGTGGCCTTTGCCCGGGGGTAACAGTACCATGGCCAGATACGTATGAGATATCGAGTTATATGAACCTGATTTGAAGAACTGGTATATGAACCCGTGGTTTCACGTGATTGCTATGTTTAACGAACATGTTACTGCTATATGACTTGATTTTACCGTTCAAATGGATATTATTTCTAACCTTCTTTTTTTAACACATTGTTATTTACTGGGATTTGGCTCACAGTTTATGTCTGTCATGTAGGTGATCCAGCTCAAGAGAGAAGTTAAGGGCGTCAACCTACTTTTTAGTTTGTCAAGCCAACCGTAGTGCCTCATTTCGGGGTTTCTTTTGGGTCTAACTCTAAGAATCTTGGGTGAATATGAATTTACCTTTTTGTAAAGTGATCAAGTGACTTATAGCAAAATGTTTTTGGTCTTATGCTTGTTTGGGTAATGTGTTTGCTTTTGGTACATGTATATGATGTGATAAGGTATGGGATGATTGCACAGTGATGTATATAAGGGGTGTTTATTCATTTTAGTTCATAGCTCATTGGACGATGTTGTGTGATTTTTTTGGCTTTCGCCAGCCTTTTACTATTTATTTTTCAGTAAGCCTTTGATAATTGCGGATTACTGGCCGGCTACGTCTCTAATCCCGTGGGGCAGGGGTTGGGTCGTGACAATTTGTAACTTTTGACCAGGCTGCTGTGGAATGGTCAAACAAATACGCGGGATTCGTGTATCAATATCTCCATTTCTAACTGTGAAGACTAACAACGATTGTGAGGCTTTAAGTATCGATTGTTGTTGGGTTGTATTAATTTTAGTCTATGGAAGTGTTTATCAAAGAATTATTGAAGGTATGTATCATATCTCTTTCCATGATTGACAAAATACTTCGTTTTTGAGGGTTTGTGTTTTTTGAATATGGGCTCTGTGTGTTTGTCGACGAATATGTCTTAAAAATGTTAATTAAACATAGCCATGTTACATTTTGGGCGGATTAAATGTGAAATGTGTTTTGTCCAAACTAGTAATGTGATTACAAAAACACTTTAGTGTACTTTTTCGAAATATGACATGTGTAATGTGATTTTATTTTCAAAATAGACATGTTACATTCTCTGTGAATTAAACGTGGAATGTGATTTGTTAAAACCAGTAATGTGATTACAAAAATCTTTTAGTTACTTTTTTGAAATGTGACATATGAAATATGATTTGATTTCCAAAATAGGCATATTATATACTTGTTTGAAACGTGATATGTGAAATGTGATTTGATTTTCAAAATGAGCATGCTTTATACTTTTTTGAAAAGTGACATTTTCAAAATGGTCATGTTACATTTTTGAGTGAATTGAATGTGGAATTGATTTGTCCAAACTAATAATGTAATTATAAAAACTCTTTAGTGTATTTTTTTAAAGTGTGACATGAAATGCGGTAAACATTATATAGTATGAATGTTCACATTATTGATGAAATATATGATG